CCCCAAAACCCCAAAACCCCAAGAAGAATTATATAAATCAATTGTACATAGTATAATAAGCAAAATTAAATTACATATTTGGTTAAAATTAGAGATGCAATTTTATCATCAAGCCAAACTAGATTTTACTGAAGCTCAACAATCTTTTGAAGATTAGCCTGTATCCCAAACTCCAGATAGTGAAGGAATCTTCCATGAGAAAACTTTCCTATTTGTTAAAGGGGTAAGAGGCCTTAGTGATAAGTTCTCCGATGAGCTCTCTCAAAAGGTAATGCAATAGGGTGCCAAGGTGATCTAAATTTTCGAAGGTATGAAGTTTCTTTATATATTGTACTTTAATTTTACTCGGATTATTTATATTTTAGTATTTTTAATAGATATCAAGGATACTCTAAGAGAACTGAATTTTGTGATATTACCACTGTCTCATTCAAAGGAAAGAGATTTCTAGAAGATAGCGAACGTATTTCAAATTACACCAGATCACTTGACCCAAATACTAGCTGAATATGGAAATCATATAAAAATCGTAGATCCGTAATGGATAATAAACTGCCTTGATTAAAATTAACTGCAGGATTCAAGCCAATACGAGTTAAAACTAATAGAAAGCAGAGATGAGAAAACCTAAGTCAATAAGAGATTCTATGATGAAAACCCTGATATGGCAGCCTAAACAGAATATGAATAGCAAAGCTAGATAAAATTCACCAATGATAAGGAGGAAATGCTAGTAAAATCAGAACAATAATTGAGTGGTTAAAAAGGAATAAAAAGACCTCTAGAGTCAGAAAATTTAATGAGATCATAGCAAACTCAATTTTAAACACCTATTAAGAGGAAGAGATAGCTTAGTTATTCTTAAGGGTATACTGAGTTCAAAAGACCAAGACTGGATCTAGATGAGAAAATTGAAAAGCTTGGTTTTGGAAAACTAGATAAACTCTTTTTTCCTCCTGACTTGTTTAGCTCTGAAAAGAAAGGAAAGCCTTTAAATGATTAGATCATATTTAGACTTTAGAATATGATAGATGAATTCAAGAATGATCCTAAAGCATTTAAAGAGGTGAAGGATTTGCTAAAATAAGTAAGATAGCATGATAATCCAATCAGAGCACTAGAAGACCTTGAAGAATTTTTTGAGATAGATAAAAAGATAAAAGTAAGACTATAGGACCTAGATGCTGGCAAACAATTTAAAAGAGACTACATAGAAGATCATCTTTTAGACTACTAGCAAGTATTTTGTGAGCTGCTAGATGCAGATGAGGAGGATTAACTTCAATTGACTCAGAGCCAAAGAAATCTAATAAATATATACAAAGACCTAGAAGAATCATTCACACCTTAGGAGGGCGAAAATCTATTTAATGATATTAAAAAGTGTTGCCTAACACTAAAAGAGGGAGATCAATTAATGATAGAGCTCTGTGGTGGAATGAGAAGAGGAGACAATGAACTTAGTTAGCTAGATATACTAATCAGTAGAAAAGACGGAGAAGATGTGAGCAAGCTGCTGCTAAAAATAATAGACAAGTTAGAAGATGATGGAATTTTAGTAACTTAACTTGATAAAATGAGAGTAAGCGACACTGGTGCCTAAGGGGCCTAGATAGTAGTCAAGTCAATTCAAAATTTTGATTAGTAACTTGAACAGAAATAGAATAAGACCTTTGAATCAGAAATAGAATTAGAAAAGCATGAGCAGCAGGAGTAAATGATATAATAAATGCAATATGTAACTAAAAATAGAAGAGTTGACATTCATGTATACCCAAGAGAAGAGTTTGCTTTTGCTTAGCTTTATTTCACTGGACCTACCTCGTTCATTATGGATATTAGAGATATTGCTGAGATTAAAGGATACTCAATTAATGATAGCAGTTTGACTATAAAATAGGATACTTCTATGAAAGTGTAATGCTCTAGCGAAAATGAAATATTTTAAAATCTAGGCATCAGCTTTATAGAACCTGAAAATAGGGTTGATTTTAAGGAGCATTTGTGATTAATTTAGTATTAAATATTTATTTAGAAATTAGGTGAATAATTGTTAATTAGAGATTCTTGGGGTTTTGGGGTTTTGGGGTTTTGGGG